GCATATGTGACAGGCTCAATAAACCAACTACATTCGAGATTGTGGACTTTCACTAGTCACCAGGGGAAATGATTTCTTCCTACTGAGTAACATACACAGACACAATCAACACTGTTTCATTGGCCGAACATCCGAAAAGAGTCAATGTTATATGTCAAATGATTACGCTAGATAGATTCGGGAATTGTATTACTAGTATATTCTACCTGTCAACTTATGTTTATGTCACCAACACTGATAAATCTGTTCATTATTCATGTTACAGGGGGAAGAAATTCCAGAATCAAATCGTGGCAAGACGGTGACGCTGGATGCACCAATGGACTATATTCCATTACATTTGCGTGGTGGTTACATCCTACCAACACAGGAACCAGACATTACCACAACCCAGAGGTCAGACAATTTCCAGTAAATGTAATGGTGCATTCTGACAAGAAATATGATCGTGATAAATTACTCTAAACACGAATTCCAGGACCATATTAATTTCGAATACACGTTGGGTACTGACACGATCACGCCGTACAAAAAATCTCATAGGCGACAATGTTCGATTTCAACATCAGATTTTACTTACACATAACGGATTTGTTGCTCTACCTTGAACCTGAACATAAATTACATACTATCAAAGCATGTGTTACATTGTTATTGATGAGTACACATGGCGTGTCTGGCTGAAATTATTCCAACGATAGTTAGGCTGATTCCGAATTTCTCGCGAATATTCTGGCGTTTCCCACGGTAACCCAAGGGAAATGTTCTATGACGAAACTCTTTCAAAGTTATACTTTGTATGCGTATGTGTGTATATATGCAATTCGGCCATATATTAAAAGCATAATATTCTTGAGAGACATATTTTTTACTTTACTATTATTATCCTATTTAGTCGTCTTAACTCATTTGGACTGGTTGTGGCATTGGGAGACGACGATACTGCTATCGGAAATATGTTTTGGGATGACGGAGAATCACGAGGTAATATACAATACTATTTCAGTGTAACTAGTGTATATTACTATAGCGATATATTGTTACAAACTATAATGACAATGAAACATTGTGTTCTTCCAGATACTATTGATAACGGACAATACACATTGCTTTCCTTTGCCGCCACCAAGGTGAGTCAATAAAGTGTATCATTAAAGAACGCTACACTACACTACACTACACTACACTACACTACACTACACTACACTACACTACACTACACTACACTACACTACATTACACTACACTACACTGCACTGCGCTGCGCTGCGCTGCGCTACGCTGCGCCACGCTGCGCTGCGCTGCGCTGCGCTACACTACACAACACAATATATAAACGATCGGCTGTTTTTAATTTTTCCTGTTTACGAACGGCAAAAATAGGAGAGAGACCATGGCAAGCAACTGTGTGTGTTGCGTTTCTCGTGTTTTTGTTGTTGTTGTTGATTGCCTCCATTGATTCATATTAGTTTCAATCGTACATTTATAATTGACGAATTTTGTTATCACAGTTATGTCCGTGGGACACGATAAAAACACCGCATTTGCTTTTGACATGTGGTGTCAACTTGTTTTTTGTGATTTTATCTTTACAGAACAGCGTGAGCATACAGGTGAACAAATCGACATATACGACGGGTCTTACTGGCCTCAGCTGGGACATTCT